TAATACAGCCGAGGAACAGCTGCATAGGAAAGATGCATAGGGTAAGATTTGGTGAGGAGGGGCACAGAGTCACATGCTGTCTGTGGGTGTTGCAACCTCCAGTACTTTGAAGTGTCCACCAGTCTTAAACCTATCTGAATCTCATTGTTAAGAGTTTTTATAGAACTCAGTTGCTAGCAACCCTGCCTTCCCCCAAGGCTGGGGCAGGATGGAAAGGTCCAATCTGTTTGATCCTTCTGGTGACCATTCCCATTCTGAGTTTTTCTAGAAGGCCCACTCTAACTCACCTCATTAGCATGAACTGTGGTGTGTTCTAAAGGAACTCGTTAGGAATTATAAAACTCCTGTCGCTGAGGAAACTCTAAGGCTTTCCGGAGCTCTGTGGCAGGAACTGGAACAAAGATCAAATATATTTATTATACAACAGGTATATATCAAAGTCTTACAACTAAGACTGTACCTCTGTATTTTTAGGCTGGGTATACAGTGATTATATTTGTTAGCTGAAAATACCTGGCCAGAGCAGAAGCAGTTTAGTGGAGGTGGAAGATGGAGAAAGGAGGGACCGTGTGGGAGGTGGTACAAATGGTCCAGATGTGGAGAGTTGGAAGATGATTGCAGAGGAGAAGCCAAGGAGACAAAAGCCTTCTACTCTGTAAAACATCTACCTAACAGTCGTTTAAGTGAGCTTACATTTCCATAGCCTGTGTTCATTTATAATATTTAGTTGCTTGACCTTCAAATTCTCCAAGACCCTTACCGTTTTTAAAGCTTATGAAGCCGGGCATGGTGGTGCATGCCTGTAATCCCAGCACTCAGGAGGCTGAGGCAGGACGATCGCTGTGAGTTTGAGACCAGCCTGGGCTACATAGTGAGTTCCAGGTCAGTCTCAACTACATAGTGAGACCCTGTCTCAAAAAACAAAACAAAACAAAAATAATAATAAAGTTTATGAAAATAACTGATGATTCTTCTTAAAAACTAAAAATATATTGTTTCCAATTTTTAACCAGAACATAATATAGTCAAAAGCATAATGTAGAAATATCAATACCCTGTAGCAGCCAATACCCAATAGCAGCCAATGCTGCTGAATCTGTAGCCTGAACATTTGCCTCCAGGGCTATTGTTGCTGTGCAAATTCTGTGCAAATGAAAAGGACTGAGAAGTAACTTGCAAGGGGTTTCAGTTGAGAGATTTCATTTTTAAATCTCAAGAAGGAGTTTCTTGACTTCTGATGTGGGTGAAGGAGTCAATCTAGGGCCAAAACCTTTCTTTGCTCCTGGATAGTCTTGCCCTGCCTTCCCCCCTTCCTGCCCCACCCTCAACTTGGCCCCAGTCCCCTGCTGTGAGTTTGAGACCGTCGAATAAGAACTGATTCAGATTTGTGTGACGTTTACGTTTATCACCGTGGTCTGACTCACCGCCAACTCAGGCTTATCTAAAAATTAAAATGATTTAAATATTTTAAAATCTGCTTTTAATATACAGATTGATTCCTGCGTTCTCTTTCACTTTCTGCTACTCTGTATCCCTACTGATAAACTTGATAGCTACCTGAAATTTATTCCAAATATCTTTTCTTCATATATAGGTTACTGTAGGCTGCTGAAATAGAAATTAATATTCAGTCAGAGAGGGACTAGGCTCTCAAGGAAGTTAGCAAAAAGAATAAAAACATCAGAAATGAGGCTAGAGATGCATCTGAAGAAGACCGGGCCTCAAGATAAAGATGCAGTAGCCAGACCTACATGCCTTCCTAAGGGATAAGCAGTGATTTGGAATTATATTAGCACCATCCAGTCCAGGAAGTCCAGCTAGGCACTGTCTGGCTTGACCTGGTCATGGAATGTTAATGAATATCCTCTTCCATTCCAAGCTACAGTTTGACAAGATACAAAAAACCCACAACAAAACAGACAGCCATTGCATGTGCTGTCTCTGCCTGGCAAAAACAGTGCTCTCTCAGACTCAGAACACAGGATGGGATATTCCCAATATAGAGATAACAACTACAGGGTGCAGCATCTTTTCAATGCCAAGTCACCTGAAATACTCACATACCTGCCTTGGTCACTGCATGGACCCCAACCGCAAATATTTGCTCTACACGTGACAGACTGCCAAACTTCTTTCCCAGTGCCCTATAAAGCTTTCTGACTTTTGTTGTTCAGGGCCGGCAGCCTTTTGCCTGCTGTCAGTCCACCTCTGCCCAGGTAAATAAAGTCTGCTTTTACTAGCCTGCCCAGGTGGTCTTATCCCTCTGCCCTTGTTTCATTTGGTGCCAAA